CCCCCCTGTTGAGAACCACTGTAGTAAACAACACTTATAATTGCATTACTCCAGCCCCCAGCGACCCTAGTGAGGATTTAGCAGTGTTTAGATAATGGATGGATAATTGCATTACTTGTAAATCGCAGCCTTTTACTTCACTGAAATTGTAAAGTTAAAAAGTGCCTCATTCTTTCATGAGTTCAAATTTGTTAATCTAAAAGAAAATGCGTGGAAAGCGGGACTTAACTAACCATTCACATGCTTTTCTTTCCTCTAATTCCTGTCAGATATTTTGGTATTCCCATGGAGATCTTGCCCCGAGTGAGGAGTTCATCAGAAATATACGGCCTCATGGTAAGCATCCGTAAATCCCTCTAGTTTATGTAAAATTTCACGATGATATGTGTTGACGTTTACTTTTTCTGCTAATGATTTCGATGCTGTGTCTAGTGTGACTCTAGTGTTGCTTTCAAAGAGTGGAATGTCTCATGCAACAGGCTACTAATAAGATAATAGAGGTTTGTTTTGTTTTGTTTGTACTTTTTTTTGTTGTTGTTGTTTTTTGGGTTAGTGTGCTTTCAGACTGTTTACGTGCATGAAGGTTGACTGAGAAATTCTTTTAGGCATTTCTTTTTGTGTGTGCCATTGTCTCTCTTCTCTCACTGGTAGAAAATATGTTCTAGCCGGGTAAGTAAGACTTGCCATCACTATTTCTCCTCATCACGCCAAAAAAAAAAAAAAAGTAACCCGTCCTGCTTCACCGTGACTAAAACGAACGCGCCATCGCTCAGCGCATTTCCAAAACTCGCATTTCAGCAACGTTTGGGCTTGTAGTTCGACTGCAGGAAAGAAACATAAAGAGGTCAAATTTTGAGATATTTTTTTAAATTAATCTCAGCAGTGGTGGGTGTACATTTAGTCAGATACAATTTTGAGATACTGGTACTTGCTGATGCGCCTCTATCTGTTGGAGGTTTTGGTATGGGGGTGTTAAATGTGTATGTTGTGTGTCTGTATTTCAATATGTGTGTCTGTCGTGAGATTTGTCGATGTGCACAAAGATGTTAATAGATGGAAAGTCTAACTATTTGGCTACAAACGCTGGAAATACAGACAACTGGCTCTTTTTACACATGACTTTTGCGTCACTTGTGCCGTGAGAGTATCTGTCATTTCAGGGTTTCTTTGCCCTGAGCTCAGGCTCACAGGCTCATTCGTTCCAGCTGCCTGCCACTTTGCTGCTGCTCTGTACCCCAGTAGTTACAGTCGTCCTCAAATGTATTCATACCCTCCTGTTAAAGAAGGACACAGTCACTGAAATAAGTTGAAATTGACAAAAGTAATAATAAATAAAAATGCAATGAAAATCATGACATTTGTCTTGAATTGTGGTTCAACAGAAATATTAACAAAACACATAAACAAGCATGATGGGACCTGTACACTAATATTTAGTTGAACAACCCTTTGAGCCAATCACTGCCATCAGGTGTTTTCTGTAACTGTCAATCAGACTTCTGTACCTGTTGACAGGTGTTCTGATTTCACTGCTCATCAGCAAAGTGCTCTAATTTAACATTTTTTAAAATTTTGTTATTATTCTTTTCAACCACAATTCAAAAGCAATGTCTTATTTCACTAAACTATAATTTAGCAAATTTTTATTTATTATTACTTTTTTCAGTTTCTAGTTATTTGAGCGATTATTGTGAATTTTGCCTTTTCTTTAATGGAAGGGTATGAATGCATTTGAGGATGACTGCTTGCAGGCCAGCAGGCGGCGCTATCCTCCAGCGTCTTTGAGGGTATGCAACCTTGTCTGGTATATGTGAACCAATTAGATTTGCTGAGTTGGTGGGTCGCTAAGCAAAAACTTTCACGATGGCTTGCAGGCACACAGCCGGAATGAAGGAGCCTGTGAGCCTGAGCTCAGGGCAAATAAACCCTGAAGTTACAGATACAAATCTTTCATAGCAGAAGTTTAGCAAAAGTCATGCGTAAAAAGACCGGCAATGGTGAGGGCTGCTTGATTTGTAACTGGTGATTTGTTTGTATTTCCTGCACTTTTAGCCAAACACTCAGGCTTTTCATCTGTCTTTTTACACATCTCACTGCAGACACACAACTCTTCATACACATTTACAAACAGCTTTGCTACAATAACGCCCCCATCTTTAAGGAAGTTTGTAAAGGCTTGTAAAAAGAGCAGGATTGTGATTACAGTGTGTTCTACTGCCCTCTAGTGGCCACAAGCTGGTATGACAATCTACAAAATGTTTGCTAAAACTACAAAAACGTCATATTCACATGCAGTACAATAAACAAAACGTAGCCCCTTTTTGTTGAGCGGCTCTGAACCCAGCAGACAGAAACCTGCCCGCTCTATTGGAAATGTGCTGGATGGTCCCCGTCCCTCATCGCTTGTGTGGTGGCATGTTACTCAGCTGGTTGTCGCGGAAACCCACTGCCTCCCAGTCAGGCCGTCTTCCTGTGCAACGTCCCACCACGTCTCCTAAATCTCTTCACTCTTTGCCGCATTTTGAGTTCTTTCTGTTAAGCCAAAGCGATAGGAGTGAAGACATTTTAGTTTGTACGTTCCGGTGCACTCTTGCATTTTGTTCACCCCTCGCTGTGTTTGCACTGTTCCAGTCTGCTTTGTGTACAACTCTTGTGGTAGAAATCAAATCTTACAGCTGTTATTTGGCTTCACGTAGTCAAATAATGAATGATTCCCTTTTGGTTTTAGTTTCAAGATCGTTTTTCATTCTGATTAAAATGTTTTTCCATCGATTATTCTGGAATCAGTTCTGCTGTTTTGATATTTTAACTTAACAAACACGGACACTTGAATTATACTGAGGCGTTTAATTTCAAGAGTTCTCGTATTGCATCAGAAGCAGTTAACGCCTAGTTTCCATTTCAATTTCAAACATTTTAATCTTCCGTCAGTGTTGAAGTTGCATCCAGATCAAACTGTAGAAGAAAAGCAGAGCTCTCAGAAAGAAATACACTGAACAGAGTTTATTTTTTCTCATGACAGAAATCAGGAGCGCTTTCAGGTATTCCCATTTCAGGGGTGAGTTCATCTCTCTTTTCCTTGCATAGTGTTGTTGTGCTTCATTTATGTTCGATATTAAATCTATGCTTTTTCTTCAAATACAGTGTCTTGGGGATCAGTCAGCAGCACTCGTTGGACAGATGTGTTTCCAAGATGGGCAAGCTAAAAACACGTAGGGGTCTTCTAGAGTCACTGCATTTTTTAGACTTCTCTTTAGATGTGTGGCTTCCACTTTGTTATAAATCTAATTTAAAATTAGTTTTTTCTGTGTTTTTGGTTTGTTTCAGGTATGGTACTGGCTGTTTTCTCTTGAGAAACACTGGAGCCAAGGTACACTGCTTCAGACCTGTATTTTACACTCTCGTATACATGGTGACGTCCCACATTGTTGTGATGGTCAGACAGCTTTGTCCAACATGAAGACAAAAATCACTTCTGGATCAAAAAACAACAACATAAAAAGCATTCAAAATCTGATGTGAATAACGTGTTCAATGTAGGGGTCAGCTGGATGTAACAACAAAAACAGTTGTTGGTTGAGGTAAAGCAATTTATTCACAAAAAAATCTGTGATAATACAAATAAACCAGGCTAGTGGGTGCTTCCAAATCAAAGAACCAAGTAAAACCAAACAAAGGCTGTTCTCGTGGATTAATCGTAGCAACTGGACTTGTTTCACCTCTCATCCAAGAGGCTTCATCAGTTCTGACTGACTAGTTGGGAGTTCCAGATATCCTTAAGGAGCCATTAACACCTGAGTTTCCCCCTGTCACAGTGGGGTTCGTTATGGATTTTTGTGGCTAGGCGTGAATGTGGTTTCGTCTTCCTGGGGGGAGATCTTAGGACTGACTTGTAAACAGGTGAGAGGTGATGCCTCAGACCTCCACCTCTGTTGAGGGATGGTCTTTCCACCCCTCCCTAGAACCATCTGTCCTCTCTGGCCAAAATCTGTACGTTCTTCAAAGGAGTGTCCTTTGTCTTTGAGATGCAGGTGGACTGCTGGGTCTCAAGCAAGTCCAGCTGCTACGATTAATCCACGAGAATAACCACGACCCTGATGACTGAGAATCTTCACAGACAAACAAAGGCGAGCTCAACAAAGCTCCTTAACCAAACTTAAATACAATAACAACACCCATCACCAACTAAAACAACAAGTGCCTCAAAACACACATTACACAAAACAAGACATCAGTAACTAATAAACTAAATTAGACAGCTGCTAACTGGACTTAAAGTCTTCACCAAGTCCCGGGTAACTTCAGCACTAAGTTAGCGGCTGCCAACAGAAGTTACACAGAAAACACACGAGGCACCAGAGCGAAGTGTTGACATTAAAACCCGGCCGCCCTGACAGTCAGGTTGGTTGTAGATTTAAAGTCGAGGTGTGTCGATTGCTGCAATCTCGAGGTTTTCGCTGACTCAGCAACTCTTTCCAGCTTCTTGTTTACTTTTGCACACTCCTCCTGAAATCTCCTCCTTTTCCTGGGAAGCCAAACCCATTCCCAAGATCAGTGAGGTCATCTGTGCCACTATTGTTTTTCTTTTTTTTTTTCATATTTGGGAGTGTCTTATCTAATCTAATCTGTCTAATCTAACTGTATCAGGTAGCTAATTTGTTCTAATAGCACCAACAGAGCACTCACTGTGGCTTTTTCAGCCGATGAACCCAGCTTTCCTCAGAATTCAGTTTTCCTGCTGAGGCTGGTATCTTCTTGCCCGCCAGATCTTACTCATGTCTTCCTGCTCCACCTTTTTATCCCAGTTGCTCAAGTTCCTCATGGGTTGTGTTGCGTGTACATAAATCTAATTTAAACATCATATTTCCCATTTTTTAAACATTTGTCCAGTTTATAATCCCACACGTTGACATTTTTCTTGTGTCCCTTCACAGCCTGTGATGTCCGAGCACGGTCTTCTGACCACGGTGGCGTACAAACTTGGTCGAGACCAACCTGCCTGTTACGCACTGGAGGTACAGTAACTTACACACACTGACTTCTTACACGAATGTTCCCGGCAGCCACAATCTTTTACAGGCACCTTTTGATCTTGTGGAAATGTGTCGCCCCTCTCGTTAGCCGACAGCTGAATGAGGAGGTGAGGTTGACTCGTGATTTGTTTTATCTTCTTCTCAGGGCTCTGTGGCCATCGCAGGAGCTGTGGTTCGTTGGCTGCACGACAATCTTGGAATCATCGAGTCATCCGAAGAGCTCGGTACGTCAAGCATCAGTTAAAACATCTCTATCTTCTTTATCGTTGGTGGGATGTCAAACTAGACTTTGATTTATAATTTTTTTTATTTACAGAGAAGTTGGCCGCGTCAGTCGGCACATCCTACGGTTGCTACTTCGTTCCTGCGTTTTCGGGTCTCTATGCGCCCTACTGGGAGCCCAGTGCGAGAGGGTACGACTCAACATCTCACAGCGCCTCCTGGAATAAGAGCTACTCATGGATTCACTCAATCTTATCATGTGTCTTTGTCACAGGATCATTTGCGGGTTAACTCAGTTTACCAACAAGAGCCACCTCGCCTTTGCTGCGCTGGAAGCCGTTTGCTTCCAGACACGAGAGGTAAACGCTTCTAGTGGAGTTTCATTTTCTTAAATTTATCTTTATGAATGTTTGTAATACTAAGAACTTGCAGTTTCTGAAGAAGTGCAACCGACCACATTTTTAAGTAGAAGTGTTTCTAGCTCACTGCTTATCTGTTTAGATACAATTTTTTGTGTAATGATTGCTTTTTTTAATTGCAGATACTGGACGCCATGAATCAGGACAGCGGCATCCCTCTAACTCAGCTCCAGGTCGACGGAGGAATGACGTCCAACAGGCTGCTGATGCAGCTCCAGGCCGACATTCTCTGTATCCCCGTTGGTAAGATTTCCACTTTTAGGTTTCCATTGAAGGCATCAGTGTCAAGGGAGACTATTGACAGGTTCCTGGTGACATATTTAAATAAACAAACTGGTTTTCAAATTGCAGTTGGACAGTTTAGTCCAGCCGACTGTCGTACTACTCATTGAAGTGATTTGCTGTTGTTATAATTGCTCCTACAAGCTAGTTTGACACTTGGTGAAGGGGACCTGTTGTTGATTGTGGTTCTCAGTGAAGCCGTCCATGCCTGAGACCACGGCTCTGGGGGCGGCGATGGCAGCGGGAGCGGCGGAGGGCGTCAGCGTGTGGAGCCTGAACCCAGAGGACCTGAGCGAAGTCACGTCGGAGAAGTTCGAGCCGCAGATCAACCCCGAAGGTACAGCAAGCCGAGAAAAGACGATGAGATGACGTTGAATGAGTCACCGGTAGCTGCTGCTCAACAATTCTAACCGTGCTTTCGTCTGTTGTCGGCAGAGAGCGAGTTTCGGTACGCGCGGTGGAAGAGGGCGGTGCAGAAATCCATGAACTGGGAAACGACGGAGCCTGTTTGTAACGGAAACGGTAGGAAGGACTGTACTCACATTAGAACCTCAAGATGAAAGCATGAAGAATAGATGGGACACTCCCTGACAATATGATCCCCATGTTTTGAAGTCTATCTTGTATGACAGTGAGAACATCTAACAGATTATTGGCAGCTGTAAGTGTTCCTCCAATAACACATTTCATCCTAAAGTAATGTTTCATGTAAGCGATGACCTTACAAACTCTTGGTATCTGATGCAGTCACATCACGTGGTCGTCTTTGTTGCGGCTACAGTATGATAAGCACCAAATCCCCTGTTTGTGTTGCAGGTTTGTCCTTTAAACCCATAATACTGATCTTAAATTCCACCATAATATGAAGCACAATGGAGCTGAATGTACAATTCTTCTGCTTCTGTTACTTAAATGTTAATTGACCAAGTAGAAATGAGACAGCTTAGACGGTAAAGAACATTTTATGATGTCAGCCATCATGGGGGGCGTCCAAGAGAGAAGCCTTGCTCACTTTTTGGTGCAAAACCTCAAGATTAACTTTGCTACTGACGTGAAAAGAAGCCTGATAGATATTGTGAGCAACCAAGATGCATTTATTTGTTCCAGCGAATGAATCTGAAGCTTAAATCTTGGAATTATTACCACAGTGAAGCTCAATCTAAATGCATATTTCCTGTTTAGGGAATTTGAGTTCATTGTTGTTGTTTTTAAATGACTAGAGAAGAAAAAAGCACCAACAACAAAAAAGACAAAGTTTTCCAAGACATTTTTATTTTCACATAAATTGGATGAGGATGATATAAAACCTCGGCCGACCTCTTTTCACTGAATGCACCACAGTGAACTTTGACTTTTTCAGAGTTTGGCGCTCACCCTTGTTGTGTTTCTCTCCTCAAACTGACCGATGCCTTTCGCTCGGACGACCAAAAGGTGAAACGAGTATCTTCAGCAGCGTGCCGATGGGCTTTTACATCATGGGCAGCATGGTGATGTTGATCTGCGCCAAATACATCGCAGGTGAGCGTCGACTTCAATATCGATCAAATAAACCTGGTAAAGATAGATTTAGACACTAATGGGCATCAAACATGTCTTTAAATTTGTCTGAAGTGCATTTTCTTTGTCGTCATAGAGATTAATGTTGACACTGTTTGTGCACAAAAATTTTTACTTTACATGTGATTGTGTCCTAAATACGAGATTTAATGTGTTTTTTCTAAATTTACAAAATGTTCCTGGTTTATGGTAAAACAATAACTTCTTACGTGAGTGGAAAGTTTCCATCTTACCAGTAAGTTGCGGTGCTTCCTGATAATTACAGCTTCTGTGGGTTTATCTGTAAATGAACGCCGTCGTGCTCGTACCTGTAATTCCACATTTTTAGAATCGCAGACATTTGCCGTGTGTCTCAGCTTGTTAATAATGTGACAAACCAAAGCTGTTTTTTTTTGTGTTTTTTTTCTCCAGGCCACAACTAGACTCCTGGAGGCATTAAAACAAAGAGCCGAGTGGACGTCTCTGGTGTCGGACCACCACTTCTGCTCCGGTTGCACTCTTTCCTTAAAACCATTCCAGAAGAAAGACGCTCCTGCTGAACCGTAACCTCTGAGTGGACGTTCAGGAGGACTTTGAACTGACTAATGGAACTTCTTCATTATTTTTTTTTTTCCCCCCCTTAATTTTTTCCTAACTTCCCTGCGTGACAGACAAAAACCCGTCGGTACGATAGACTTTAGCGGGAGTGTGCATGCGGTATTTGTTTTTTTTTTTTTACAGAGCTGATGTGGTATGAATTTCTGAGCTTAGTCATGTAGAGAATCTGCCAGTGGTGTGAAGCACGTTGTCTTGTTGTTGTTGTCATTTCACTGTTAACTGTCATCTTGTGATGTTTTTGTTAAAGACCCTCCACTATGAGCTGTTATTTTATTTTATTTTTTTATTTTAGAGCACTTTATATGTTTCTGTTTGGTCTCGCTGTGCACTAACAGGTCTGCATATTTTTTGTAGAGCATTTTGGGATTAAGGCACTTGACAGGAAAAGAAGGCGTTTAATGAACTGACGAGGTCGCTCTGAGGGTTTGTGTTGTGTAACGAGCAAACATGCGATGAAGGATGACGAGATATGAAGACGCTGAAAGAGGAACCAGGCACAGAGTATTTCAATCAGAATCAGATAAAAACATCCCACTGAGTATCTTTAATTTCAAGCCATTTACTACCGAGACTGTGGTTAAAATTCAATTTTCTGACTTATTGAAGCATTCAAAGCTTCTGTCAAGTCAAGGAAAAAGTCTATTACAAACATTTTGCTCTCAGTTTATAAAGTTAATCCACAACAATGCATCTTTATTGCACTAAAATGCCCGTGTTTTCCTCTGAATAATTTATTTAAAGTCAAAGGGAGCTGTACAAAACCATATGAATTTATCGAGTCTTTGCTGTGTGGTTAAGGCTTCTGAGGATTTATTCTCTTGTCCTGCATGTTTGCCTTTTATGAGAATCTGTAATAAAAAAGTCTTTTGTAATGGATGAAGGTTGCAGGTAAAAACAGACAGTTATCGATTTGCTCCCTGCAGTTACGCCGTTATTTATTAAATTATGCAGTCATGTAAAAAGTATGAAATTTTCTATTGGGATGCAATTCTACAAATGGTTAATTTATTGATGCATTTAATATGTTGGGAACGTTTGCTTGGCGATGTTCAGCTTCAAAGACCTCTTAACTGTGACATGGGAGACGGTTTTCGACGCTCTTTTGCCACTAACTCCGCATGTTCTTCCCCCGTCGGCGCAGCGTTTGTATCCGTGAAAAGTGTACAAATCTGTTGAGTTTCTCACCACATTAAAGAGCAGTTTAACCCAAACCGAGGCCGTCCAGGTGTGCTGATGTTGAAAAGGAGGAACTAAAATGCAACGGGGATGAGGAGACAAAGCATGCGTGTCAACATTTCTTCTATTTGTACCCATGTAGCCACACATATGAACCATACAGCATCACTTTCAGGATGTCCAGAATTATTTATTGATCTGTTGTTTAATTTCTAAGTCGACTGCCTACAAGTACAGTGTGTTGTTGTTTTTTTGTTTTATATAATAAGGACTTATTTCCTCAGTATAACCAGCCTGCCTTTCTCTCGGGGGGGAAATCCCAACAGATAGGAGCTGTTGAGGAGGGAGTGGTTCGCTCCCACAACAAATTCAAATTATTCAGTAGTTGCACTTCCATTCAGTTCGCTTTGGCTCCAGCCAGATGTTCCAGCAGCTCCTCAACCTGTAAGTCTCTGACAGCGACGTGAACCAAAAGATTTCTTTGCAAACCTGGTGTTATAAAAAAAATGAAGCGTTTTGTTTAATTATATTTAATCTTTAAAGTTTGCATTGCAGATGTGAGTCACTTTGTATTCTGAGCATTTTCACATAAACTTATCCTCAGTGCATCGTCAGCACAGCAGACTTTAATGATTTACAGACTTCTTTTTAATATGCTCTGCTTTTAAAAACAAAAAGTTTCTGTTTTCAGCTTGTTTGTTGTTGTTTTTTTAAAATTGTCAGGCTTTAAACTTGATCTGCCAAGAAAAACTGAGTAAACTAAACTTAGTCAGACTTTTGGCAGCAATGAAGTGTTTCAAAGTTTTTGTTTTTTTAAATAAACAACAGTGTCACCTGAGGAACCTGTCGACCAGGAAGTTGGTGTCTGGTGTGGGGCGTTTTGTGCTGCAGTTGTTCCTCATTTCTGATCTTGCGGTGATCGGCAGAAAGGTGAGCCAATCATACATGTTTTTTAATGACTAACAGTTAATCACAGTTGCGCTGACAGGCGGTTCAACCTCGCAGGTGTGCGGCAGCGGACGGGTTTCAGTTGGAGCTGGAGAGTCAACAAAGCTCAAACATGCTGGATACAAGAGGGAACGAGGGCGGACGGAGCCAGGTTTTGTCAGCGGGCTTCCAGGATTACAGCGGTCAGTTTCATCATTCTGGTAACGTGATATACACATTCAGCTTAAAGTAGGGCACTGTGGCTGTGTAGGTTCTGAACATGTTCTTCCACTTCTTTTAGAGACGCATGAGAACCAGAGAGTCATATGAAAGTGTTTAATCAGGTTTAAAAAAATCTGACAAAAACTTAACATGATTAGACTCTTCCCCAAGCAAACAAGAGTAGAACTCAAATCATAACCACAACAGGGTCTTTTACTTTTGATTCTTGAACTACTTTGAGCCGATGACAGTTTTACTGAAGCACAATCAAATATCTTAACCTGCAGCAGGTTATGTTCAACAATGTGGTGTCAGGGTTTGTTTTGGCCAAAGCTTCCAGTACAAATAGAGTTCAAGCATCAGAAGAAAAAGTTCTTATTCTATGTATGAAGTTTTCTTACACTCAAAGTTTCATTTTGAGAAGCTCGACTTGAAAAACACCAAAGCACGACGTTGGTTCAGGGAGATGTTCAGTCATGTTGTTAAGTGTTTCGAAACTCAACAGTGTGGCTTCCATTAATGATTCACCAGCAATCTTCTGTTAATTTTCCTCCCAGGCTTTCTGATGACTGATCCCAAGCTGCCAGATTACACCCAGGCCATGTCCAAGAAGAACACCGTGAAGAACACCGTGAAAGAGCTGCTAATGATGAAACGGCAGGCGATCGAGAGGCAACCGGTATTTCCACAAGCACACGAACATGACAAGACAAGCTTAAGCTCAGTTTAATCTCAAATTTATCGCAGGATTTGGACTCCCCGGCTAATGTTGGGATCAGCATTTTAATATGGAGCCAGAAAAAGGAACACAGGGAAGTTAGAACTTTAACCTCTTCAAGGGACAAACTTGGAGTTCCTTCAGTATGAGGAAGAACTGATATAAAACTGAGAGCAAAGTACAAGTGGTGAAGATTAGTATGCAGATCATGTGGGTGTGTTTAGTACAAGCTAGACTGCATTCACATACTGCCATAACATTACTAATTCTCTTCTAGGAATGGAACTGCTCACAGCACAACGACTTGGAGCCTAAATTCAAACAGCCAAAATTTGAACCTTTCGCCTGCGATGTGAGCGCTCATCTGTTCAACCCTCCAGCACCCCTCAACCCGAATACCACCACCGACTTTCCTCCTGCAGCTCCTGAAACTGCCGAAAAGAGCCCCCAACAAGCGCAGTTTCCAATACAGTATCCAGCTCTGCAGGGACAAGTGGCTCCGGCTGATGGATTCAAAATGACTTTGTTTCACTGGCAGATTCAGCAACAAGCGCAGAGAGTTGGAGGACTTTCCGCTGAGCTGCTGAACACGCAGGATGCGGATGGCGACACGTACGTATGCAGGAACAAAGCCATCGTTTAGACTTCTCGTTTCCAATTAACTGGGCTTGTATCACTGGGGTGACATCTGCAGTTATAGAAAGGAGCATTGTAGGATTACAACATGGCACGATGCAGATTTGTAATGCAACCAAGCGGGGGAGTTTGAAAAGCAATGTGAAACAGATTAAAGCAAATATAGGACACTAGTCATAGTCGACAATTGGTTGAAATAACCCAAACTATTGTAAATTGAATCAAAGTAATGGATAGCCACGTACACTGTTGGCTTAAAGTAAAAAAATAAACAATTGAAATAGCTAAAAGTGATGCAAATAAATTGAAATACATCAAACTAAATGGTAGACACAGTGAAAAGCAACAGGGCAGTTGAAATGATTAAGAAAAACTAAGGAACAGTTCAAATCATTGGCTCTAATTAATGGTGAAACAACTGAAAATGCTAAAAAAAATAAAACAACTGAAATAGTCAGCTGGAAGCAGACTTTAAATTGAAGTAAGTTCCATGCTAAATGGTTGAAACGGCGAAAGAAAACAGGTGTTGCTGGCAAAAACCAATAAAAAAAACAGGTTTAAATAGTTGCATCAAAACAATGGTTAGATGGTTGAAAAAGCTAAAGGCAGCTAATGGATCAGCAGTTCAGGTAGTGAGCTAAATCTAAAGGTTAAACAGTTGGAACTGTTTAAAATAGCTCATGCATTAACAGAGCTAATAGAGTTGCTTTTAAATAAATCACCAAATATTTTGATGATTGATTATTTTTTGCTTCCTGATTTGTTTACTTCTCTGTTACAGTAAACTCAGTATGTTTGGGCTGTCGACATCAAACATCTGGGGTCATCTTAGAAAGCACTGATCCTCTGTTTTGACTTTTTATAGACACCAAGCAACTAATCAACTAATTGAAAAATCAATCGACAATGAAAATAGTTGTTAGTCGCAGCCATAATGTGTAAAACTTTGACATATTTTGGTATGAAGATTTGATTATTCCAATCTTAGTAATGCCAATGAAAACCCAACCTAAACATGGACATAAACATATTAACTTTACCCCCAATATATCAACTCTAACTGGCCATTTTCTGCCCCAACATCTCAGATTTCTTCACATCGCAGTGGCACAAGGTAAACGGGCTCTTGCTTATGTGCTCGCTGCAAAAATGGCCGGATGTGGCTCCCTGGACGTGAAAGAACACAACGGGCAGGTACAGACGCTCAACGGCGTGTACTGATGTGTTTTAATGTGTCTTAGTTTACGATGATTGCCACTTCAGTTGTTGTCATCTTTGTGCACAGACAGCCCTCCAGATCGCAGCTGCCATCGATCACCACCTAATTGTCCAGGACCTGCTTTCACACGGAGCCCAGATCAACACCAGAGACTTGTGGGGTCGATCTCCGTTACACGTGTGTGCTGAAAAGGGCTACGTCGCAAGTCTTCAGGTAAGGACTGGAAATGCATCAGCACGACTTATATTTAGATGCTAATCCATCAACTTACCTCCCAGTTAAATGTTGATGCGGCATGCTGGTTTAATTGTGCCTTAATTAACCTACATGGCTCAGTCCAAACTTTTTGTTAGTGTTTTTAGTGTCAAAGAATCCGTCCAAATTAGCTGAGCTTTGAAGGAATTTCTAAAATGTTGCTGGATTTTGAGTCTCAAATGTTGTTTGCTGCAGGTTTCAACCAATAGAGACTTTTAATCTTATGACAAATAAATGCATTTATACCGATGTTAGGGTCAGGTGTACCGCATAGAGACTCAATGTGAGACTAGTAGTATTAGTAGTTCTAATAACAGTACTTGCATATTTTAAACTGCAGGACAACACTGTAAAAACACTTAATTTTACTAAAAAAAAAAAAAAGAGACTAAAAATGTATGTAAAAAAAAAAAATACAAACTAAGTTTCAGCAAAATGGCTTTCACATATATTGTTAAATTTAGGGATGGCATCAGTACTGTCATTGACTGATAATGTCTTTAAAATAAAATATGAGCATAAATCCCGAAAGGAGCATTTACAGGAAGATACAGTTTAGTTTGGAATCAATATGGCATGTTTTTAAAGTACACTGAAGTCATTTATATGTTTTACTTTGCTGCCTCTGTACAGTTGTATTGTTGAAAAGCAGCCAAATTACTGTATCCGGCTTTTTAGTTTGACCAGTTAAGTCTCAAATTTAAACTGCGGCTGTCGAATACACTGAGCCACTGATGTTGTTGATCTGATTTTAGAAACAGTTTAAGCCACTGTGATATGGGCTAATCAATGTCTGCTTTAATCACAGGCAGATTTATAACGTTTACACACCACTAAGCCTTAATCCGGACGTGATTCAATCATATTGTCTGCAATACATTAAATCCAAACCCATAAAGAAGGGAGGATAAATTCTGTAAGCCTTCTGAACATCTGTTGAGCAACTTCTACTTGAGGCATCTGTCAGAACACTTTGAAACGTCGAGCTCTAATGTGAACAATAGTTCATATGTTTTACCTGCCTGGTCCGGTGCACCAACCTATCTCGAGGGGATATGCAGATATTTTTCAAACTGAAACACCAGGAAGTGTGGTGGATGAATGCGCTTTAGCAACGTTTAAACATCACAAGGATATAATGAGGACATAACATTTGTATATTTTAGTGTCTGAGACCTCTGTGTGTGTGTGTGTTGACCTTGTCATTGAATTCCACTTTGAGTGTGTGCAAAACAACGCGTTCACAATGACCCCACTGTGGGTGACACGCAGCTTATCTCCGCTGTTAATTTGTAACCGTGTCACAGTTAATGTGAAACACTGAGCCTGTTATGTTAGTTTATTAAATGCGTTTGACTTTTAGAGGAGGAGGAAACTGAAAAATAAAGCTTGACTTTATAACCATGAGCAATATACCTCAAATTATATTTAGTCTAGATCGCGTTTAATCGTCCAAGCAGTGATGATAAAATGTCTTATTTTCACACTTATTCCCACAGAGCATCTGGAGGACCTCAACAGTCAGCGGGCAGCCAGTTGATGTTGAAATGTTCAACTACGATGGTGAGTGTGTTCTCTTTACCTGGAAACTCAGTGACATTAGTGGGAAAACAACCTAAATTCTGCTCCTCTGCAGGCTTCACTGCACTTCACGCAGCCATCCTGTCCCACAACGCTGCCGTCAAAGAGACGAGGAAAGCGGAAGATCCTTGTTCGTACGCGGAGGCGGAGCGAGTGCAGAGGAGGCAGAAGTTGGTGGACTGTATTAAGATTTTGCTGCTCATGGGAGCCTCCTATGGGACAAAGGTAACTATTTCACCTCCTGGACGGCAGTATGTCAAAAATATGTCAAACAGCACGACTCTGCTGAAGTCATAGTTGTTAAAATTGACAATTAAAAAATGCCTTCAACTGCAAAATCATGTTTTTTAAGTTTACTGCGACAGACACAGTGGTTTTATTTCCCTATTAGATGAAGTGTTGCAACGATATTTTCACATTAGAGAGCAAAATTTACAAATCATGTGTTATTGCTTATTTCTGCAGGATCTAAAAAGTGGACGGACTGGTCTTCACATGGCCTCCGAGGAGGGAAACGTGGAACTGTTGAACATTTTCCTTGATCAGGAAGCATCGCTGTCGATTGTGAATGTGAAGGTTAGTTGCTTTGCTGTCAGGCTTTTGGAAAACTGTTGGTGTTTTTGTGTCACATCTGGGGTTATTTCATCTCAAATCTTCAGGGACCTTCTGTTTGACCAGCTCTGATGTGCTTGTATTTTTTAAAAGTCATAAATTATGTGTATTTAAAATGGTATCTGTGAAATTTTGGATCGACATGTCAAATACTTTTTCAAGATTTTTTAAAACTTGCTCCTTAACCTTTCAGGACACTTTTTTTTTTTTTTTTTTTACACATTTGGAAACTTTAATGCCTTGGCACATATTAAATGGTAAATTCATGCACTTATGTGAGACTTTAGAAGTCAATTTATTCTCACGATCGCGGCATAAACAGTTTGGTCAGATCGGGTCTGTTACGGCTGCCGGCTTTTCCTTCTTTGTCGTGTTTCTTCGTTATGTAAATTTAAGTGTGCCGTTGCCGGTTGCTGATTGGTTTGGCCCATCTGCCCTGGCCCAATCAGAAACCGGCAACGGCACACTGAAATTTACATAATGAAGAAACACAACAAAGAAGCAAGGGCCGGCAGCCGTAACAGGGGCAGAAAGTTGAAGTGTGAGCGAACAATATATTTGCAGTGCTGATGAGTTTATCTTAAAGCATCTCTTGCAATGAGCTGAACATGTGATGTTCAAAAAAAATAAGTTATACACCTATGTTTGGAGAAATATTTTAGAACTCCACAACGAAAAGCAATATTTTAGTTTACTTTTATAGCTGCTCAGTTTAATGAAAATAACTTCATTGTTTTAATCAGGGATTTCATATTTATGTGTATTAGATTATTGTGACATGCAACATTTGGTTGACTTCATTTATTTTTATTTTTTGTTAACGTGTGCTCAGATATGGGACTTTCCCTGACTGCTTCAATTTTTTTCATATTTCATCTCACCCATCATCACATTATTTGATCTGCTTGTTGAGTATTGAAGATTCTGAATCAGAAAAATGTGCTGAAAATGGGCAACTTTAACAAAAAAATAACTTGGAAACTACTTATTTAAAATATCTGTATAGATATTCACATTTTATGCTATCAAAAGTTAAGGCAATTCAAAGATGGTTGGGCAGTTATTGATCTGAAAATTAAATTTGCGAGGGAATGACCCATCAAGCATCCAAAGATACTTCAGTTGACTTTGTGTAGTACTACAGTCCCTATAACCTGTCAAACTGCATGTAATGTGTAATTCTCTTTCAGACATTCAGTGGAAACACAGCCCTACACATCGTCAGTTCTCTGCAAAACTATCCGACTCAAGCGGAAGCAGTGAAGTTACTGATGAGGAAAGGGGCCGATCCGGGGATCAGGAACCTGGAGAACGAGCTGCCGTGTCAACTGGCGCCTGAAGGAGTCGTTGGTGAAAAGGTACAGAGTCAAAGGAAAGAATGACGACTCTGTGCTGCTACACAGTGTAATGTCGTATGTAAAAGCTGTTCTTGTTTTCGCAGGTCCGGAAGATCCTCAAAGGGAAACTCGTTTATGCTTAAAGGAAACCTCAGAACACTGTCAGTTAGACAGTCAACTCTACAAAAACATTTGCTCTAACAAGGCAGATGAAGGTTGTTTCAGTGAAACAAGATGTTCATTACTATGTAGTGCACTACTCTTAACCCCCAATCATCTTTAAAAAAATCAGAACTACTTTATTTTTCTTTCTTCTCAACACCTAAAATGATGACACAGAATCAACATTTCCAATCACATTTTATGTACACAAGCCAATACAAAGACTCAAATATAAAAAGAGGCCTCTGCAAGTCTGTTGGCGACAGTCCACAACCAACCACTGCGTTCATTTCTTCTTCTTGTCCTGTGTGCTGGTGAACCACTGGTCCAGTAGCTTCTTACTGTAGTAGATCTGCCAGCCATGTACCTGCACAGCTATAACGATTACCAGGTACATGACTGACACAGCGGAGAAACCAAAGATGAAGCGGTACGCTTTGCCGTGGCGGTAAAGCTGCTGAGCTACAGGGAACATCTCCATACTGCCGTAGATCAGCGGAGCCACGCAGAAGAGCCCGGCGCTGATCATAGAGATGACCAGGTAGCTGATGTTGTTGCGGGGCAACGCCAAGAAGCTGAAGACTGTGGGGATTATGCTCAGGAGGTAGGGGTACTCCCACTGGTATGGAGAGGCCACCACTTTGTGGGACACCAGGCTCAGCTGGCTCACAGTCACCTGAGGAAGAAAAGACAACTGTGGAGCTCAACTCTTATAGCAGTCAGTAAAACAGCAAGACATGGAGGTTTTCTCTTACCTGAGCTGTCATTAGCACCCAGATTAGCAGATGGACAATGTTGAGTTTACGGATTTCAGACTTCAAGGCAACACTGTAGAAAATGAAGAAGATGGATGGAGTTAGATCAAGAGTCAACTCTGCTCCCCGAAAATATAGCAGCCACTGGAATTTTTAAGAGCTGCTAAATTCTCAAGATCAATTAAGGGTTTGTAGGAAAACCTTCAACTTCCCATATTTTCCTGAAATGCAGCTCGCTGAAGATTAGTCAAGAAGGACAACCAAACTGAACTTTTACTTTTTTTTCTTTTCATTTTTACAGGATGCTAAATATTTTGGGCTGTGGCCTTACTAGTTTTTTTAATATCTCACAAGTACTTTAAACAATGTCCCTGACAGATAAACAGTCTTGGGAACGTTTATGAGTCTGGACGTTGATTTAAAAGGACTCAAAGTTGTTTGATATGAGATTTTCTACTATAAAAAATGTACAAGTGTGAGGCGAAGATTTCATACTGAACCTCCTGAAGTGGCTCGTGCTTTAACTATTAAATCAAAGCAGAGCTGCAGATTTACGTTCCTATATTCTGTGATATTCTTACATTTTACTGTGTTGCTAAATGAACTAACCTCATCTGGTAGTGAGCGGCGACCCGCTCCCGGTGTTGGAAGTCACTGCCATCTGTGCCTGTTGCTCTCGGACCTGCTCGAGAAGCCATGATGGATATCTGAAGGCAAAAAAAAAAAACACAAGTTCAACCTTTGATTTTCAGATCCAAGAAAATCCATCACAACAATGAGGTGAAGGTTCAGTGTCACGCCAAAAAGTGGTTGTACGCTTCTGGTTAAAGCTTGTTTATGTGTGTAATACATGTAGTATTGCTCCTGATGTTTGTGATGTGTTGTTTTTAATCTTCTTATTTAGACTGTAGCGAATGTTATGAATGGACAAGTTATAAATATAAAATAAAAATTACGTTTTGAATGAAATCAGCTTCTTTTTATGCAATTTCAGTCATAATGAAAGGCCTACAAGCACTGATGAGTGAGATGAATTGGTCCTATAAAGCTTTGACAACCAAACTGATCCACAGAGCAGATAAAATAATGCACACATCAGCATGATTGCAATCAGTCTTTGGCAAATGATTACTCCGACCACACCTGTATTTTGGTAGTTTATTTTTTAATCATTAGATTCATTTACTATACTATCATAAACTAAAACCTCCACATCACAAAACAGCCCTGAAAAGTGAAGTTAAAGGAGCTTCACAGCTGCAAACAAGCTTTCACTGCACAGCTGTTTCATTCACCCCTCACTAGCTAGCATTGCTAAGTTAGCATGGGGAGCGTTTGGCTGCACTTCTCCGGTTATTTTCGACTCGACTTGTGAGCTTGTCAGTCCCAATACAGCCACAGAAGCTCCAGCTCCCTTCAGGTGTCATGACACATGTCGGCAGGTGGACTGAAACGGTTTTTACAACGGATAGAACAGGTATGAGTTGAGCTAACCAGCTAATGCTCACTGACGGCTAACTGTTAGCCGCTGTAGGTCACACAAACGGAGACGAATGTGAAGCGAGAGCAGCTTTGCTCTCACGTCACATTGATGAAAACAGATCAGGTATTGAGCACGGCGCTTACCTTTTATTTTCTGTTGTTCATAAAACGTGTTCAATCATAGAAATGCCGGTGTGAGGTGGCTACAGAGCAGCTAGCTGGCTGGAGGAGGAAGCAGGAAGCGGAAGGGAGACCAGCCTGGCTCTGATTGGTCGGTTTGTCTTCTACTTCCTGCTTGTCCACTCAGCTGTGCATCAGGTGTGAGAGGTCACCTTCAAAGGTCATTCCATGTCACATCATCACATTTTAGAGCAATTTCTGCTCAAGTATCTCTTTTTTTGCAGGGTGAACTGTCGCCTGTTATATGTACAGAAATCATAAACTTGTTGGAAGATAATTTACTATTAAAGTCTTGCTTACAGAAGTACATCAGGTTGTCAATATTTCAAGGCAGAAATATTTAAATAACAAACATTTATATAGCATGGGCTTATCTTTTATTTTGGGAACCCACTTTGCAGACTTAACCTTGCTTTGGGGGAGACTTGTTTAAGGTATATATGATTTCTTCTGGGAATGATCACTGCAATAAATAAATAAATAGGATGACAACAGCATAACATAACCAAATACACAGATCTGCTGAGATTGTGGGATTTTTTTCACTGGGAAATCATGCCTTCACACATATGTTTTATCTGTTAAATTTGTAAATTGTTGTTGCTATGTTATAAGAAAGTGTGTTGGCAATAAGTCAAACAGTGAAGGAGGCAGGCTTCATTCCAGTGTACAAGCTGGTAAACAGAATGTGAGTCACGGTATTATTTAGTGACAGAAATTGTTCCTGTTTTTGTTGAAGAGCATATTTGTTCAGACCTAAATGACATGTAGCACCAGCAGTGATTGTGGTTGTAACAAACTTGGATCCACAAAACAATAAAGACTTCTACTATTTATCAAGCTGTTTTTTTTCTGTTCTCAGACACAAAATCAAAATGAAACAGTGACTGAAACGCAGCTCATTACAACTACATGTCAACCAGCAGTCGCTTCAGAGACCTTTCCGCGCTGCAGCTCCACTAAAATACACATTTTTCAATCCTAATCATCAGGGTTTCGCTCTGGATTTGAAAGTCCAGCACTGAAAAAAACTATGAACAGCAATAAGACGGTGTCTCTCTGCTCTGAAGGTTTGAAGTTTGAACTTCAACAAGCTCCTGCTTTCCTCTGTGGAAACAACGAAACTCTGAAAGAAGGACATTCACGGGGAGTTTGTCAGTATATGTAAGAAACCTTTAGTGTTGTTTTGAGTTTGTGGGTTCAATCCCCACATGAACCAATCAATTATTAAATGCAACATCCAAAGTAAAGACTGAAAAGTATCCAGAAAGTTATTCCAACATGTGACCCAGTAGGTCAGTGGGATGAAGAAGAGTTTGTGCTTCAGAGTCTGTGGATTCCATGAGTATCTGACACTTTGAGTCTTTACTTTGGTTGTTTAGCTTCAAAGGCTTGAACAGATGCAACTCATCATGTCTGGACAAACAGCTCAGGCTGCTGGAGGATGACTTGTAATATGAGAAGCTGCAGGTTCAAGTCTCATTACGGTCCACAACTACTTTAAGTCTAACACTCAAAGTAAAGACTGAAAGACGTCCAAGAAGCAGTTCTTCTGTGTGGCCCAATAGCTCAGAGGGGTGGGAGGATTGTTTGAAGAGGTGGAAGTTGCAGCTTTGAATCTTTTGAGCGTCTGTGTCTTTTGAACACCAGTAATCAAAGTGAAAAGTCAAAACCACACAGAGAGAAGCTTCCAGCACCAGCAGGTCTCAGTGGCTTCACAGCTTCATTTATAACCTTTAAATCCTGGTTCTGGTGCTGGAGTCACTGGTTCAAGTCCCACTTATTGCCAGAACCTGCAGCGTCCAAACACTTCCTGCTGTCACATCTCATCCTGTTTTTCACCTCCAGCTCCACAACAACACAGAGGCTCCATCATGGGCTGAACATGATCCAGAAACCACTTCTAGGACTGAGCAGCTGAAGTTTGCAGGATTTGTTGACTCTGTGTTATGTTCATGCAGCTCCATCAAAGCTTCAGAAAGTTGGACCACAAAGACCAAAAACCAGAACTAGCATCTACCCTCTCACCTGATAGTTTGGAGGTTCAAGAACCTGACTTTTGATCAGAAGATCTGTGGATCAAATCCATCAAAACATTTTCATTTCTGTCAGGAACTAAATGTCCCCAAACTTTCCCAACACACTTGAAAACTTCACATGTTTAACTTTGGCTTGAAGTAGAGAAATAGCCACGAACAAACACTAAATATGACTCTGACCATCAGACTCTACAAGACAAACACATGTTGAGCTGTTCATCCAGTTCAGTCTGTGGTTTGGTGGAAATCTTCCTACTTTTTCATTTTGAAAGTTCCTGGTTCAAATCCATACTTTGGAACCATTTTGAAGTTTCTTCTCTTGAAGTTTC